TTGTGGTCTCTCTTAATAATCCATAAATACTACTTATAAATCTTAGTAAGGCTTGAACTTGTAATTTCTTAAGCAAGTTATCTTTGAGATAAAAATTATTTATTTAATTTTTTATTATTTATATTTTATCTTTAACCTATCATATCTTATTCATAGTAACTTGAATTTATATATTTTTTATGTCATTGAAAATATTAAAAAGCTATATATTTAAAAATATTTTTTCTTTTTATTTTTACTTTTTATTGGATAAAAATCTAATAAACAAACAATGATTAGTTTTGTAATATACAATTATTTGATTGTACTTGCTACACTTCTTTTGTATTTTTTTTCTTTTTTTTCTTCTTTCTTGCTACTTCTACTTCACATCAATAATTACAAGCAATTCTTAATTTAGGCTATCTTGTAATTTGAGTTGAAGAGTGAATATTATCCTTACACCTCAACAATGATCAAATATTAAGGTGGTCTTTCTATCTTGAAATGAGACATTATTGATGACTAAAAAGACATATCAACTACCTTCAAAGGAAATAGAGAATAGAAAATGTGACAAATATAATTTGTTGTATCTTAAACTTTATCAACATATGAATACTATTTTTTGTAGAATTTATTTCTAAAAAAAGAAATAATGTTACAAATACATATATTTATTTTAATATTTATTTAGATAATATAGGTAATAAATAAAAATATATTAAATTGATAATATCTTATAAAAAAACTTCTTAAAACTTTTCTAAACAAATTCTCACCTTTATTTGCATCCATAGATAATTGATAGGTTATAAACTTAGTCAATAAATTAGCTATCTGTTGCATGTATTGGTAGCTTGTGGTTCAAGCTCACTATGTACCACACATATAGGAAACCTATCTTGTAAGTTAATACATATGTCTTACAAATAAGACAAGTGTTGAAGGTCTTATAGAATGTTGTCCTGTTGTAATGTAATTTTATGGTAAAAATACAATCAAAAATAAAAATTTTAATAAATATTCAATTATCTTGGTTCAATAATAATTCAAGTCATTTAAACATAGCTTTTATCTAAGCCTCTTAGTTTATTTTCTTGTTTTAATAGCTAATAGATTAAAAGTTGCTTAGTAATTTTACTTTTTAGATTGTAGAAATTCTTTTATTATCTTAGAAAGACTATAAATTAATAAAATATAATAAAAGAAATAAATAATGAATATTATTGATACTAAAATTAAGTTGAAGGTAGGATTGGACTACAAACATTCCTAGAATAAGTTGCAATTGATATTCAAGGATCGATTGTTTATGACAGAGGTTCAAAATCAGACTTCTAGCTATTAAAACTACTATCTAATGCAAAGTATTGAAGCATTTGAAAATCAACAATTAAAATTAAAGAACTAATTTTAAGTTTATTTAAAAAGCATAAAATTTATTTTAAATTGATTTGGGATGATTTTGTAAGTATTATTCAAAGTTAAGATTTATATTGGTGACTTAAAATTTATGCAATACAATTAGGGCTAGCACTCTTGGCTAATTCAAGCAATTGGTATTACATCTATAATTCAAAATTTGACAATCTTTATTTGATTAGGTGCACTAAATGTGTGTAAAATTTTACATTAATCTATTAATGCAATTGAAAGATATTTAATTTTTGATATAAAAAGGTATTGAAAGTTGGCAGTTTGGAGTCAAGTAGTATTTCTATGGTATTTGAAGATCTACTAGTTGAAACAAGTTGAAATTTGGCATGGTCTTCGAAGACTTAAAGATCAAGCTATATTATAATTTTGAGCTAAAGTTAATGGTTGGAAAATAAGAAATTACTACTAAAACATCTACATCAACTTTTGAGTTGACAGCCAAGTGATATCAATGTAGTTTTTTTAGACGTTTTCTCACAATCTTTTAATTGGATTGGACTGAATTTTTTTGAGCATATAGAAGACTTATAGTAGCATCTGTAAGCAAATTTTTTTATCAATTAGACAATCAAATTAGGAGTTACAACTTCCTAAAGCTCACTAACTAGAATTAGGATATGTAAAGAGAAATCGAAATTGCATAATTTTTAAAGTAATAATGCAATTAGAGTTTGTGTATAATTAAGGTTACTAAAACGAGTGTTTTTGAGCACCTTTTATTGGCTTTAAGTACTTTTGAATTGAAATTCAAATTACATTCTTCTTATATGGTTGAAACTTATTAGGATTCTTAGATACTTGTAAAACATAACTTCACCTTGCATAGTTATGTGCCTCGTGCATTTCCAAAGAAGACAACTCATAATACAACAACATTGCTATATAGTTCCTAGTTAGATAATATATGTAGTGGCAATAGTGAAGCGTTTTTCACACTTGTCAATTTCTTTGTTGCTTTTAGTTTAGTTTTAAGGGTTTTAAGTTTTCTTGCCTTTTGACAATAGCCATTCCAATTTCTTCTTGAATATATATATATATCATTTTTTCATCTCTCTTTGATACATATCTCGTTTACATATCTTCTTGAGTTCTTATCCTTGACACAATGTTAACATAAATAGAATTTCAATATTAATATTAGAATAGAAATTTTGATATACATATTGATATCTATATATTCTTTTACATTTGATTTATTAGAAACTATTTAGAATATAATACTTTTGATAGTACATAAAATTTAAAATAAAATTCAATTAATACTTAACAATAATAAAGACTAATTAAATGTATTCTTAATTTTTTTTAATTGGCCACATTAACTTTTACTTAAACAAAATAGAAATTTTTTTTCTATGACCCTTAAATACATTGTTTGTTCAAAAAAATATTAATAAAACTTAACAAAATATAATTTTTACTCATTATTTAATTATAAATAAAATAATAATAAAAAACTATTCTTTTTCAAAAAATATTTTGAAATAGGATACTTTAATGATTATAATTGAATTGTTTCTAAATGCTTAAAAGTCGTTGTTATATTTACCATATGTTTTATAAAAAATTGAGATGTATATTTTTTAATCTTGGTATAAGATTTTATTTTATTTTAAATTAAAAATCAAATTGCATAATCTACTAGATTTATTTTTTTTATTTTTATTCTATGTAATTTTTTTAATTCAGATTGTATTAAATTATGATAAACTACTTTGATATTGTTTTTGATTATGGTGATGAAAAGAAATCACTATCTTGGTCATATATTGTTTAATTACTCAACAAACTTCAAAATAACATAATGTAAAGACATAATAATTGCATAGAGATTCTTTGATATATAATACAAAAAAATTATATTAGAATCTTATTTCGTGTGACATAACAAGCACAGATTAAAACATTTTTTTTAATACTGAAGAGTTTTTAAGTTTGTTGCATTTTAAAAAACATAAATTCTGTATGATTATTTAAAAATTATATATATATATATATATATATATATATATATATATAGATATGTTTCAAATTAATCTATGCATATATTTATAAGCATTGATTAGAATAATCCTTATTAGATATAATATTTTTAGGCCTAAATATATGTATTTTTTTAATTAATCATAATTCTAATTTTTCTACAATTATAGTTTTATTGTAATTTTAAAGAAATTTTTAGTTTAATTCTTATTAAATAGAAATAAAATATATATTTTTTAATTAAATATCATAGTTTTGTTGATAGGAGAGTGTAAAAAATCAATTAATCTATGTTATTATAAAACTCCTCTAATCATTCTTATAAGATTTTTTTTTATTATGAATAAAAATAGTCAATTAAAAACATGCTTGTTTATTTTAATATTCAAAAAATATTATTACAAGTATTTATAAAGTTATATGTTAAAATAATATAGATTATGCATTAAATATTTAGTATTTTATGAAGTAAATAATAAACAAATTCAATATATTTATTAATTACTACAACAACCAAAAGAAAAAGTATGTAAATCTTTAATTGGTATCTCAATATTACTTAAATTTGGGATTTTTGTAATAGCTTTAGCTATAATAACTACTTGATACTACTATGATATTATTATTTTTTTTATTAAAAAAAAAATCTTGTTGAATTTTGTACAGAAAACAATGTGGCATTGATACATCTTGTTAACTTGTTAAATTACAAGTTATGGTGTTTAATTTAAGAAGCAAATGATCTTTAAGTTTATATTACATACACTATTTTTTTAATAAATTATATTTTGTGACTCTTAAAAAAAAGTCAAAGTACAATAAATAAAAATTCTTTTTAAAAAATATTTTAAAATTAGATTTGTTGTTTTGGAGGCTTAAGTTCTATAATTTCTAAAGGTTTATGTTCACATGTTACTTTTGAAAGAAATATAATTAATTTTCAAAGCATATTTCTTCTATTTTAGAAAAGATTTATTTTGGCAGATTTTATTTTATAATCTTATAACAAATCTACATGTCATGCAAGCTCAATTTATTTTAATAGATCTATGTGTATTATAATACATGGAGTTTGTTAAGTGGTTTTCTTAAAGATCAAAATTATTATTAATAAAATCATTCATTTTTTTACAAGAATTTGAAATTGCATATCTATTACAATAAAATAAAATAAAAGAATATCAATCATTGATTAAAAAACTCACAAGTTCTTTTCAGCAGAATTAATTAGAATCTTGTAGAAAATGCTTGTTGTATTATTATTTTATTTATATATATAGACATATTTCTATACATATGTGTACAAAAAGAATATGTGTATAGAAATACATAGACATAAACATAAAGAAGTGATATATACATAGTATTTAATATATTTATTAAGACATATTTTTGTTTTTTTATCAACATATATATATATATATATATATATGTATGTGTATTTGTTTTATTTATTTATATATGTGTGTATTTGTTTTATGACAGATATTATTTAATTACTTCACCCTCTCATGAGATGGGTGAGGTTGATACCCTGGGACGGGATATCACGTCGGATATCAACAAGAACCACTAGAGTCTCCACAACTCCCTGAGCTCGACAGTACGGCAGAGTCTTCATGGCTATGGCTTACCCTCTACAACCCTAAAATGGTCGTTACTGCTGGTCATGAAGAGGAAGCAGAGAATTGAAGGAGAATTTATCGATTGAATTAGAGTTCGGGTTTAGTATCAACATGATGGACATGGTGTCATCGACATCGTCCGCATGGGCGGAAAGCAGTAGTGGTTCTGCGGACTTGGTGTTGGTCACAAGGCCACCCGCATTCGGTCTTCCTACGGCATGTCCTGCTTGTCTGCCTGCGTACTTGTACCTGCGGCTGGCTGGGGCTCGGTTCGATGTACATGTGACTGCCGTTGAGCCGGATTCAGAAGATTTGCCATCAGTGGAGTATGGAGAGAATGTAGGATTTGCGAGCGAGAACGGTGGAGTTGTAGAGTTTTTGCGGGAGGAGAAAATCGTTGATTTAGATGCGGGGCTGAATGAGAGAGAGAGAGCTGAGCTGGAGACTTGCAAGGCGATGATGCAGTCTTGGGTCGCGGATGCCAGTGCGTACGAAGTGTGGATGCGGGATAACAGTAGGCAATGTAAGACGGTGTATTTTTCTGAATTGCCGTGGGGACTCGTTCAAGCGCTGGACTGGAAGCAGCGGCTTGCTGTTATGCAGCGTTTGGAAATCACCCCTGAGAATACGATGACTAGGACGGAGGAGCTGTATAAGAAGGCCAGTAATGCTTATTCTGCCCTCTCTATTCTTTTGAGTGACCAGAAGTATTTTTTCAATGATCGTCCGACTAGCCTTGATGCTCTTGTGCTCGGTCACCTCCTTTTCCACCTTCGAGTGCCACTTGAGGTTTCCACATTGAAGGAAGCAATTCTGAAGTACCAAAATTTGGTGGATTACGCGGAACATTGGAGTAAATATCTGCTAGGAGAGGAGGGGAATTCTATCGATTCCTCCTTTCGTCCGAAGACACCTCATTCTTCCCATGCGAGTCCACCGAGGCAAGGACCGAAGGAGAGAGACAATCCAGAAAAGGAGAGGAGGGAGAAGGATATTTTCTTCAAGAAACGGGCTAAGTATTTCGTGATAGCGCAGGTGACTGCTGTGTTGATGTATGTCGTTTTCGCCGGATATGGAGTTGATGATGATGGTGAAGACGATGGAGGCGATGACGATGATTAAGAGTTATATTTGAGGTGGATGATTGTTTGGGCTCCTATTGCTTTGACTTCAGGATCACTGTTAGCAGCACGCTTCTCGTCAGAGCTCTTCGAAAGCACCATCTCCCTCTTCCAGTTTTGACATAATTCCTATTCATGCCTTGGAATCTTGATTAGACATCGGTCTTATATAGTTCCGGTATCAATAATTCACTGCTTTTCCTACCAAACAGACATGTCGAAGACGACCACCTGTTATCTGGTGCTGTATTGTCTGATGTTTATGGACTCAGGAAGAGAATATGGACATTTTACTGTGGATTGGAAACCATTTTGTGCTGTTTGGCAGAACGTTGGTTTCTGCACAATTTCCCGAATTTCACAAACGATATTGCTTGCCTGTTACCTAGCTGTCGACAACTTGGAAGAAGCTGTGTGAAAGAACTGCAAATAAAAATTGTGTGTGCCGAGTTGGTTTTCGATAGGTGTTGGCTTGTGAGCAATGAGGGAGATTTAGGTTTTCGGTTGCGTAGCCGGAGTCATCAGGCAACAAGTTTACGAGCTTATCCTTCACAAAGGTGATTAAAAGATATCGCAATCAGGATTTGCTAAGGTTTACACCAAATCCTCGTCTATGTGCATGGCAAAGTTACCTGGAATATGGATTCCTGGAAATGACGTTCTGTACAAGTTCATCTTCGCAGAAGCTCTCAAAAATTACAGTAACGTCCATGACTGATCATGCCTGTCATTATATTGGGCTAGGGACATGATCATCAAGACGACACTCTTCAAGAATGTGTTTCATATAGTCAGAGAATTCGCACCTGGTATTTAGGCTTGAGCTCGATCTGATACCTTCAGTTGAGCAACCTGTATGTGCTCCAGAGACTTCAAAGCGTGATCATAGAATGAAACAGTTGTACACAGACTACATCCGCTGAAAAAGCAACAAGGGTCCACACTCAATTCAGAAACGTTGAGTTATTTTAAATTTAGCCAATACTTTAGGGTCGTTCCCTGGCGAAAAATAACAGGGTTTAGTGTGCCATTCCTTAAGCTCCTAAAAAGTTACTAGCGGGAAACGCTTAGAATATTCTTTACTGCCATCATCGAGTCCCTGTGAGCTAGTCAACTGAGTTCCTTGACGTACGCAGATGTAAATTCCTTGGAAGGAGAACGTCGTCGGCTTCTGATTCTGCAATCAGGAGCTCCTGCACAAGCTTGAGTAGCTCGCGTTGAAAACTCTCGCAAATCAAATGTCAGCAGTGGTATCGATCCTTCAAGTTGTTCTCAACTCCCCACGCTGCAATAATCTCAGGCGGTGCGTTTTCTTTCTTCTTCACATCCACCCGAAAAACACCCACATCATTCACATAACTATGCTCAGGATAAATTGACTAAGTAAAGGTCCTCCATGGGCATTCTTTCTACTGGAAGGCCAGCGTTTCTGAATTGAATCAGCCTAACGCATTTTAATTTCGAAACTGCTCAATCCAGTTTCGGATAGCAACCGTGGGTGCAGGAAGGTTGTGTGACGACGAAGCCATTCTTCATTTTCCCAGAAATAGGGGTGCGATATAGCCGTTGTCTATGAATGTAAAATCCATTGCGTTCAATGTGTTCTGCATTTTCAGTCTACAAACAACGCGTACTCTGCAATGGAAAACCTAAAAATTCCGACGCGCTAGTGGAATTTTACGTATTGTGAAATGTGGTACCATGTTCAAGGAGGTTGCTGTCTGATCCAACTGAGATTACTCTCAATACAATCAATAGAATACATGGTTATTCTCCGGTAATCAAAAAGACATTATGTCGCAAACATCACTCATGTGTGTAGCGCCTCTCTAGTTGCAAACAACCAAGTCGCAAGGGTTTCAGCGCCGAAAACCACTTCTTTTTTGGAGTGGAGGTCCCACCAAGGTTCATGGTAGCATTAATTGTGCGGAGCCCACTTGCGACGAGCGATCAGGAATCTTTCGAACTATCCACTAGCACCACCCTATATGGCAATTTATAGGAATCAACCTCTCCTTGTTGAACTGTCTGCGGCGGAATTTTGTAATGTGAAGCTTTGGATGATGAGTCGGATTCGCCATTATACTCTGCAAGCGCTGAAGGATCACAGTTCAGAAGCCTAGCAGAATAGGAAGTAGTTGTAGCTTCACTGCGAAGCTTGTCGTGGAAGCATAAAGTGAGGTGTGGGGAGCCTTATCGATCACAGATTCGTTTGTCTTTGGTCAAATTTGCGAGGACAGTACATCCTATGGCGACCAAACCGGTGGAATGGCAGATGAAGGGGCACTCGACAGTGTCCGCCTATCTGGTCTCTAAGGGCGCCCAGAAAGTGATCGACTTCATGATTGAAATGCTGAACGCGCACCAGATGTACAAGCAGACTAATGAAGATGGAACCGTCAAGCACGCGTCGTTGCGCATCGGCGACACGGTTGTGATGGTCACCGACGCTAACGACGAGCATCCGGCTCAAACAGTGTGGATGTTCGTCTATGTACAGGATGTCGACAAGACCTACGAGCTCGCGTTGAGCAAAGGCGCGGAGTCAGTGGAAGCGCCCGTGGACAAGCCTTACGGCGATCGGATGGGTGCTATCAAGGATCCCGCGGGCAACACTTGGTGGATTGCAACGCACATGTTTAACCCTTACGGCTGCACTGGCGACGCTCAAGTTGCAGAGTGATGTTTGCAGCTGTCAACGTTTGCATCGTGTGTTGCAGCTTGCCTGCCCTCTGGTCCTGAAGATAGGGTTACAATTTGTTTCTAGGTGCGTGGGAGTATGTAGAGTCTTTCCGGTGCCAATTTAGCTATGGCGATCCCTATTCCATGGCTCGTCAACTTTTCCACTGTTGCATACTCGTGCATTGATCATAACCCCTGGATTGTACATTCCTGTTGATCAATGGAGCGTCGTAGAGCACAACAGTTCCCTGACAATGGCGCAGAAAATATGTATAAGATTTCTCGAAGGTTTTTGCTAGACCAACCTTGTGCAATTTCCCGTCTGTTATGCGAGACATAGTGGTGTTTGAACAGAGCAGTGACAAGTATCGAACAGTGCAACTGGTTAAGTAATGTCAGTTCACTTTTCCGTGTACAGACAGAAACTCATCGTTTCTGACTGTTAGGGTTGGCAATGCTCTACCACTCCCTCGAACTCGTCTCTCTCTAATACATCTCGGAGGTAATACAAACTATCACTGTAACTAAGTTTTCAATTGCACTGTTCGAGCAGCTCTGCATACAAATGATGTACAAGTTGGCATGTAAGCAATACAGATTGCTGATCTTGTGCGGTGAAGCATTCGCAATTTCTAGAGCAATGGCAGGAACGACAGCCATATCTGTCTATGTTGCATTACAAGAGCTGTGATTGCAACCTCATATTGTCGTCTAGGTATGTAGAACAGTGTTCTTGCTATGCTCTAAAGTTTTGCGTGTCAACTTTAATCGAAAAAATAAATCTAAACAAATCTGTGTGTGTGTAAGGTCTTGAATCCTCACCAACTCAGTGTGCGATTTCCGTCCTTGAGCCCAATTCTTAACCGAATGCACATCTTCTTGTGAAACTTGGTTCTCTTCCACAAACTTCTTGTGAAACTTGATTCCAAACCCAAATTCCAGAGCTCCAAACCTCGATGAGGTGGGCTCTTCGCAAGCTTCTCAATCAGAACGGGCGTCTCCAACTTTCATAAATCCAACAATAGACGACTAGTTGAATCACTAGAATCGTGAAATGCCGTAATTTGTAGAGTGATTTCCCATCGCCGAAGGTGAAATCTACTGAACCTACAATTAGTGTGTCTTTGAAGTAATAGCGGCCTCTATCGTCGTATAGAGTACCCTGCTGCCCATAGAATGCGCACCCGTAAAACGCATTGAAATCGCCTGTTGTACGCAGTGCTACGGCTTGCGGTTGTGCCTCCCCGGAAGGCCGCGGTGAGGAATTCTGTGAAAATTGGGCATTGAATCATTAAGTTGACGAGAACTGGTTCCTGTTTGAGTTCGCCGCAAGTTAAATCAGGAAACAAACATAATCACTCTTAAGTTGTGTGCTTCTATAGATCCTCAATAAACATTGGTCAGGCATAACCACTTCAGCAAAACATGGACTATTCAGGTGGCATGTGATAACTTCAATCTAGTGATAGTAGATGAATTCGCGTCCTTGATTAAACTGATACATCGCCATTTTGGCATCGGCGAAATGAGAATTAGTTCCTTGAAGACCTACCTCAAACGAAATATTCCGTGCGGTGAAGTAAGGAGCGCTGACTCTGAAAGTAGAAGTCGTGTATGTGGTGCCCGTGTCGCCTGCGGCATTTTTGGATGTGATTTTGGTGACTTCTCGACCAGATCCTTGCAATGTAATGTGCCACTTGCTCTTCGGTATCACTACCCTTTCGCTGCAATCAGCTTCGTTAGTAGAAATAAAAACCAGCCCTGCTTGTGTCGTGAATGCCGTCCCCTGGAAACACTATTTTAGCGAAACGTTCGCTGTTGGCATTCATTGAAATTAACTTACACGTGTACTCCAGGGTTCACTTGGATAGTGACGGAGTTTCTGTTGTGAAGTGGCACCGCTTCGCAAGCTTCCTTGATGGGCTTGTATGCATAAAAAACCACTACATTCGATTTATATTACTACTTTAATTTTTATAGCTTCTACACCAAATCAATTGCAATTTGTGATGTTGTAAGTGGTCTATAATCTCTATCTATAAATCATAAATAAATGTCACTATATAGAAAATTTGATTGAATTTAGTTAAATGTGGTGCCATAAGTTGAAACATGCATCTTTCCTTGCTGATTTCTTTGCTTCATTGTAATGCTTTGATGGCATGTGTTCATTGCACTTTATAATGCTTAAAGCTCAAGACTACAACAAGGAATATCATTGCAATGGAGATTGGCTTGTATACATGAGATATAGTAGTTTGAAGTTGTTTTGCAGGTGGTCTAGACAAAAGTATTGGAGTTGCCTTTACTTGCTATGTTTTTGGATCAAAGCTATTAATTCTTAAATTTGCATTGGATTCTAGAGAAATATCATGTTGTACAGAATGCAAAGTGATGAAGAAAGAACTTGCATTTTGAGAATGTGTGACAATAGAATGAAGTATTTGAACATTGGTGTAGTATTGAATATTTCAAGGTTGACTATTTCCATTGTCTTGACAAATTAGAAGATCCATGGTAGTATAAAATCTTTAAAAAATTAATGTGGTAGATATTTATAATATTAGATTATTGTTGCATTTTATTAGAGATAATATAATACAACCATTGTTAGAAATAACAAGCCAATTGAATGTATTTTATAACAAAACATGATTATATTTGAATGAATTGGACTTTAGAAATTGCATTGCACCAAAAAAATCCTATCTTAGTGATAAACATAAAGTAATAGCCTTGTATTTTTCCAAGCTTATGAAAGTGTAAAGGACAAGAACTTGATAAAAATAAATAAACAAGTGAGACTTCTCTCAAAGAAAGATGAAAAAATAGAAATAATTCAATATGTATATTAAGAAAGAAATTAGAATGGCTATTGCCAAAAGACAAGAAAACTAGAGAAATTAAACTAGAAGCAAGAAAAGAGTTGACAAGAATGAAGAGGGCTTCACTCTTGTCTCTATATATACTATCTAATTAGGGGCTACGCGGCGATGTTCTATAGGACCTCTAATATGTATTGACTTTATAGGACACATGCCTTGACTTACAAGGCAAGTTTTTCTACGTGTGGGCCACATAGTTAGCTTGGTCTTCAAGCTAACAATATGTGTGGCACATGGCCAACTTGTTGACCACATTTTTAATCCAAAAAATCAATTAAACACAGCTATAAAGTCAAAGTAGTATCTATAAAGCTTTTAAGAAGCTTTCATAGCAAATATTATAGAATTAACTTACTTTTACCTATTTTTACTTACTTATACTTATTTATACATGTAATTATTGGCTTACATGCGTATGTCCATGACATTATCTCTCCTTCTAGGGACAAGTTCGATGAAGAGCAGTCATCATATGTTGAAAAAATCTATGATGTGACAAATTGTATTCCATATATACTCTGATCTTTGTTCTCTTCAAAGATAATTGAAAGGGCCTCTCAACCATCGATAGTATTCCATACCACGGCAAAAAGACCATCCAATTATTTGATCGTTATTGAGGCCTTCATAACTTCTTTTGAATAAAATATTTGGAACACCATCAGGAGTTGTTCCTATCTCTAGTAAAATCACCAAACATCAAAAGTCCCTTCCAAGGTCGTGATATCAAACGTGTTGTATCTCGCCATCTATTCGAGGAAGAATATGTTATTCTTGAAGAACTTCATCTTGATTGCATTGTCTTGAAGGTTGTAACAATCGTAATGTCTCATCTAGCAAGTCAACAAACAAAGGCCCTTGAGTCAAATCTGCTCGTTGTTGGTTTTCTATTTGCTTAGCGTCACAACTACAAAGAATCTACAAACAAGGATTGAAAATAGAATGTTATCTTATCTAGATCTTCTTTCTTTTATAAAGAAAGTTTCATCTTAATTTTGATGGATGTCGTTGATGAAAAGCCTCCACCGCCTTTATTATATTTGTAAGATTCTTTATTGGCTCTCATGTACAATCACTAATATCATATCTACGCTAATAGACAAGATATTCCAATTTATTTTGGTGTTGCCTTGAATCTAAGACTTCTTATCAAGGACATGAACTCCAAAGAAAGATAATCTCAATACACTCTTGTGTCACTCGAAAATACTTAGAAATCACTCAAAGGTGATAATATATTCAACTAGAATGGCTATTGCCAAAGACTAGAAAATATGACGACTCTTCAAACTAGACTGGAAATAAGAAAGAAGTTGACAAGAGTGAAGAAGGCTTCACTCTTGTCTCTATATATACTATCTAACTAGGGGCTACGTGGCGACATTCTATAGGACCTCCAATATGTGTTGACTTTGTAGGACACTTGCCTTGACTTACAAGGTAAGTTTTTCTACGTGTGGGCCACATAGTTAGCTTGATCTTCAAGCTAAAAATATGTGTGGCACATGGCCAACTTGTTGACCACATTTCTAATCCAAAAAGTCAATTAAAGACACCTATGAAGTCAAAGCAACATCTATGAAGCTTCTAGAAATGCTTCCATATCAAATATTATAGAATTAACTTACTTTTATCTACTTTTACTTACTTCTACTTATTTATATATGTAATTATTAGCTTACATGAGTATATCCATGAGTATATCCATGACATTATCCACCCTTCTAGGGAGGAGTTCCATGAAGAGCGGTCATCATATGTTGAAAAAATCTATGATGCGACGAATTGTATTCGCCACATACTGTGATCTTTGTTCTCTTTGAAGATGATTGATAGGGCCTCTCAACCATCAGTAGTGTCCCATACCAGGGTAGGATGACCATCCAGTTATTTGGTCATTATTGAGGCTTTCATAACTTCGTTTGAATAAAATATTTGGAACACCATCAAGAGTTGTTCCTACCTCTGGTAAAATCACCAAACATCGGGAGTCCCTTCTAGGGTCGTGGTACCAAACACGTTGAATCTTGCCATCTATTCAAGGAAGAACATGTCATTCTTGAAGATCTTCATCTCAATTACATCATCTTGAAGGTTGTGACAATCGTAATGTCTCGTCCAACATGTCAACAAATAAAGGCGCTTGAGTCGAATCCACTGGTTGTTGGTTCTCCATCTCTTTAACATCACAACTACAAAGAAGCTACAAATAAGAATTGAAAGTAGAATGTTATCTTATCTAGATTTTGTTTTTTTTATAAAGAAGATTTTTATCTTGATTTTGATGGATGTCGCCAATGAAAAGCTTCCACCACCTTTGATGCATTTACAAGATTCTTTACTGGCTCCCATGTGCATTCACTAATATCATATCCATGTCAATGAATAAGATATTCGAATTTATTTCAACGCCGCCTTGAATCTAAGACTTCTTTCACTTCAAATTCTTCATTATTGTCCACTTCTATAGGAGGAGGTGGAACTTGTCTTCTTCTTGGTATGTCCACTATCTTGTATAGTTAAAGAAGAGACACGTGGAATACTAGATGGATTTTCATTGACTCCGATAGATGTGAACAATATGCAATTGGATTGATTTGTGCAGAAATAAAAAATGGTCCAAGTCTTCAATAGTCCAACTTGTCACAAGGATGAGTGGTCTTGATATTACGATGAAGTAACCATATCTTATCGCCCATGTAAAATGGTGGTTGTTCCTTTTGATAGACATCCGTATTTATCTTTTGTCGTTCTTGAGCTTCTTTTAATTGCACCTTCATTGTTGCATGTAACTTTGACAACTAATTTGTCATATCTTCTGCCGTTGGACTATAAACTTTTGAGAAATCAAACGTGTCAAGTTGTAGATGATAACCATAATTGGCAAAGAAAGGTATTTGTTGTGAAGATGAATGCACCGTATTATTATAAGCAAACTCTGCCAATGGCAAAAGAGTTGTCCAATCATCTTGTTGGTAGTTAATGGTACATCTTAAATATTGCTCCAAAACTTGATTAACATGTTCCGTTTATCCATCAATTTGAGGATGAAAAGTCGAAAATAGTTTTATATCTACTTTTAGAATCTTCAAAAGAGTCTGCCAAAATCTTGATACAAATTGAGTTCCTTTATCTGATATAATATCCTTGGATAATCCATGATAGCAATAGATATTATCAATAAAAAGCTTAGCTGTTTCTTCACCTGTGATGGATTTTATACATGGCACAAAATGTGCCATCTTGGTGAAGCGATCTACTATGACAAATATAGAGTCATAAGAACCTGAGCTTAGAAGATCTGTGATAAAGTCCATAGAAATAGAAGACCATGGTTGTTCTGAAATGGATAATGGCTGAAAAAGTCCAAAAGATCGATAATAAGGAGTTTTTGATCTTAAGCAAACATCACATGATTGTACAAAATCTTTGACTGCCTTCCACATTTGAGGCCACCAAAAATCCCTAGATATCAACTCCAAAGTCTTATTGTATCCAAAATGTCCTGCTGCTGAAAAGTCATGATGAGCTTGAAGAACACGTAAACATACTTTTCCTTTTGGAACACATAGGCGTCCTTTGAAATAGAGTAGGTTGTTCTTGAACTCGAATTTAGAGGGATCATGAGATTTAGAAGAATTATTCTTGATATCGTGAAGAAGAGGGTCTGAAGACATACTTAAGTGGACTTGCATCAAAAAAGTTAAATCAATAGTCAATGTTGATTTTATTGCTCAAAGATGAAATTACTCCGGCTTCAAGAGAATCGTTCTTTGTTCCTCAAAAGTTGCATCTCCTTCTTTTGGTATAACATAAGAACGTCTAGACAAGGCATCGGACAAACCTTGTTGTTTTTCTGGTCGATAAGTGATGATGAACTCAAATCTTGATAAAGATATAC